AAATAAAATATTTATATAAATAAATAAAATATTTACATGTAACAGGTGTACTTATAACTAATGCTCACTCCGCTCCCAAGCTGGAATATGGACTTTCCAACCGCAAGCGGCAAGCTTCGGCGAACTCTCTCGGGCCTATGGCCCAGTTTTTGAAGTTATTGGGTTTGACCTAAATGGCTTAGATTTAACTTTGTAAAGACTTAACAGCACGCAGCCTAAAAAGAACAGGCCTAAAAGGGAAGAAAAGAAGGCCTATAAACAAAGCACCTACCCTAGGCAGGAAAAGTCGAATGAGACATGGAGAATGTGGAGAAGCGAATGCCATGGTTTAACAGGGATTTGAGAACTAGGACTTTGAAATTTTGTGCAAAAAGCACGGTTGTAGCAGCAGGTAAATATGGTCCCTAGTTTGTTCTATGCTGTAGAATAATTTGTGACTTTCCTAGCTTTAGCTTTTGGAAAGGAAAAGGATTTTGTGGAAAAATTTTAGCCATTTCAAGGCGTTTTTTCAGCATGGAAATTTTAGTTTAGGGGTCTGAGTTAGGCCTTCGAATTATATTTTGGACCCAAATTACTAATTGGCTTAGAATCTTAGACTAGAAAATGAAATAATAGATTGTTAATTAAATTCTATATATGTGAATGGAAGTAGGATATTTTCCTTATATATTTGAGCTACAACAGAAACTGGCAGCAGGAAAACTAAAATGAGATAGAGATAAAATGCAGAAACAAAATCCATAGTTAACACGGATATAAGAAGCAGACCTTCAAATTTTTTGCAGAAAACAAGGCTCGGGCTACATGTAAATATAGTCCCTTTCTGTTCTCCGGGTCTGGCTAGAACTTTTTGACATTTCCATAATTCCACAGTTTTCTTCTATGACTTTTCCATAGCCTTTATTGAGTCTATTCTTCAAAGCAAATGAATCCGAGGTGGGCTCACTGTGTGAAGAAATTGTTTCCGAAGATGGGAGATTTTCTGTACATAAGGCTTGGTCATGTCGGTTTGTTGGCATCTGACTATTGAGTAAATTAATTTTAAGGAGGTTGAATGAAATTGTTTTATGAGTCCATCTGTGCATCTAGTAATTTGGTAATTGAGCAATATTATAAGTAAGTTGTATGAATAGGTAGAGATTGATGTTGTATTTCTACTTATATGAATTTAATTCAATAATTATTAAAATTAATATTAATTTTTATTTTTTATTAATAAAAAAATATACTATTAACATGTGTTTTTAAAATAAAGTTAGTTCTTTAAAGTTTGCTATCTATAAGAGGAATCTTACCAAGTTTTTATAAGCTTTAAAACTGGAATATGCTATTTTTATAAATCTCATTAAATATTTTTTTGAAATTGATCAAAAATTAAAAAATAAGACGACTTTGGGATATTTTATGGAGACAAAGACCCTCACCTCAATTCTAGTACAAAATTTACTTGGAAGAAATGATGGCTATTCATTTATTAATACATTTGCATAATGTTATCTTGCAAAACATCTTTATATTCATGAGCATACAGTTGCTAGATATCACCCTACGAAATTTATTCAATAATACTGACTAATAAATCTTTTTTTTTTCAATAGATTATGAGGCAGTTGAAGATGAGTATTGAACTGATCAATTGGGAGATTTTGGAGGAAGAGCAACTTCAATGGCTCCTTCTAGCATCTGTGAGACTCTCTTCATGGTGGGTCTTAGCAATGGATCATCTTGAATGCACCAAATGGCAATCATCACAAACTTCTCTACCTTCTCTATATCCTGAATTGCCTCTTCATCCTCTTGCACTAGCATATACATTCTCCCTTCTTCATAGCAATCGTATGCCCATTTAGCCAACATCATTTGACTTTCATCCTTTGCATCTTGATCATAACTCCTCCTACAACAAATGAGCTCTAGCAGCAGAATTCCAAAGCTATAAACGTCAACTTTGACTGTGACTGGCTTGCTTGTCAAACATTCCCGAGCAACATATCCTATTGTACCCCTAATTGTGGTAAGAGTTCGTGTCTGGTCTGTCTTCAAAAGTTTTGCCAATCCAAAGTCTGAAATTCTTGCTGTCAAGGAGTCATCTAGAAGGATATTTTGTGGCTTGATGTCGCAGTGTATGATCTGGTTGGTGCACTCTTCGTGCAAATAAGCAAGCCCTCTTGCAGTTCCAAAAGCAATTTCAGTTCTTTTATCCCAACTGGGCCTTGAATTCCCAAAAAGATAAGATGCTAAAGATCCATTGCTCATGTATTCATACACCAAAAGCCGATGTTGTCCCTCATTGCAAAATCCTAGCAGCTGCACAAGATTCTTGTGGTTTGTCTTGCCAATTGCACTTATTTCTGCTTGAAATTCTTTCTCGCTGTCTTTCACCATCTTGTCCAATCTTTTAACGGCAATCAAATTGTTGTTACCAATAGCAAGAATTCCTTTGTAAACTGTTGAACAAGCACCCTTCCCAAGTTCTTCTTTGAAATTATTTGTTGCTCCTTCAAGTTCCTTGTAAGTGAGGCTTCGTAAACCTACGCCTTGGATTTGTCCGGACGGCTGAGTAATCCTTCTTTTCCTAAAAACAACCCAAAAAGTAGCAATCGACAGAATAAGGATTAAAAATGCTAAGCTACTAAAGAGCATAGTTAGTGTAAGATTCAGTGTTGACTTCTGCTTCTTTAAACTGTTGGCAATGGATGTTGTGGAATTGTCTTTCCTTATTTTGATCAGTGCTTTCGTTCCAACATCATCATTATTAAGTTGCACTCCATTTGAGAGAGGAATTTTCTTCATCCAACATTCACTAGCTGTATTGTAGATTGTAACAGCACAAAAGCAATCTGTTAAGCATCTCTGTCTGCACCAATCCTCACTAACGGGGTTAAAATATTCATAATCCCCTCCCCACCAATTTACGTTGGACAGCTCCCTCATATCAAAAAGATCTGCATCTTGGCCTCCATCACACTCTTGTGGGACAAAAGCCTGTTTGCATCCCATCATTTCATTATCTGGATCCAAGGGTGAGTATCCAGGTGGGCACGTGCATATAGGTCTCTGATCATTTCCTAGATGGCAATAGCTGTTGAACCCACAAGCCCCACTACCTGTGTTTTGTGTTGTGATGTTCATGCAAATGTTGTCTGGGACATGGGACTCCGAGGACCAAGCCATAGTCCTTCCAGCAGCGACACTATCATTCTTTGGATAGACATATTGCCTGAAGACACCATCGTATTCAAGGATTGCTCGCTGGTAGAAGTTGCTAGATGAAGCTCCAATTGATGTTATATTATTGAGTATGCTTTCATCTTCAGCTTTTAGGTAGATAGAGCCAGACAGGTCGAAGATAACCTGAACGCCACTTCCATTAGTGTTAGTTGACCAGTAATCAGTATTTAGTGAAAGCAGTGGAAAATGTACAGTAGAAAGTACAAGATTTCCATTTGATTGTAACTGCATCAAAAATCTTCCGCTCGAGTAGTTCATTGCTGAATAACGAGCAACAAGGCTGCTGCCTTTGTTTAATATTTGTGTGGGTAGTATTGTATCAGTTGGATGATCAAAACTTTCCCACAAGGTGGTGGAGTCCTGGCTTGCCAGCACAAAGTTTCCAGAGTCGAGCATAGCTGCATAAGAAACGGTACCAGAGCCAGCCAAGTTAGCTGCCCACACTTGCTTTCCTTGGTCGTCATTGAGCGTAAACTGACCATCTGTTGTAAGTTGAATTTTGGAACGTGGTTGCACCAGATTTGTACCATTGGCTGACCAAATAATGGTTTTTTCAGGTATTTTGTCAAACCATATGGCAAGCAAGAACATTCCAGCTTCTATCTGTTGGAATCCAAATGCAAAATCTCCAGATGGAGATTTCCAAGAATCATTTTTATCAAGTGCTGCAGTTAATGAGGTGCCCAACGTTATATTCTGAGATGTTTGAGCGAAAACACAAACTGGCAGCAGGAAAAGTAGAATGAGACATAGAGAATATGGAGAAGCGAAAGCCATGGTTTAAAATGGATTTGAGAACTAGACTTTGAATTTGTGCAAAAAGCACGGCTGTAGCAGAAGGTAAATATAGTACCTAGTTTGTTCCATGCCCGTAGAACAATTTGTGACTCTTCCTAGCTTTAGCTTTAAAAAAGGAAGAGGACTTTGTGGAAAAAATTCAGGCGTTCCAACGCGTTTTTCAGCATGGAAATTTCAGTTTAGGGGGTCTGAGCTAGGACTTTGAATTATATTTTGGCCCCAAATTACTAATTGGCTTAGAATCTTAGACTATAAGATGGAATAATAGATTGTTGAATTTCATATATATATAAGTCTGAATGAAAGTCAGATTAGGACAATTAATAATAATTTTATTTAATTTTATTATAAGTCTGAATGAAAGTCAGATTTTATTTGTCGGTCAAAGTTAAAGAGAAGGTGAAGTCGAACTTCATGATTGAGAGTGGGACGCACACAGTGGAAGAAACGGTGGGAATCCATCATTAGCAAGACAATGTTATCATTTGCACGTGTCAATGGACAACACCTCCAT